TTCCCTTTCCACTGTTGCTACATGAAAACTTAGTACAGGAAATTGCAGTAAAGTCTACTACACTCTGCGAAAAAATTCACCCTGCACTGTTTAATAACACAGATCAAATTGAAATGTATTTATTTGACTTAAAATTTGTGCTTGATTTGATTTTTGATCTCAAAAGACATTGTAGGTGATTTGAGTTCAAATTGGCCAACCTTTTTAAGTTAAATAAAATTCTAGTTATTTGATTTCTTGTCAAGCTTTCTTTTTTATTACAGCGTTTATCAAATGAATGAAAAATAACTGTTAAAAGGAACACATGGCTCTTGAGAAATCTGGCCCTCTAGGTGTAAGTGGGTTTAAAAAAAAAATCCCAAATGTTTCCTGCCTCCTATTCATGTCTCTTTCCACTTTTTTATAATATTGTGATTTTTAGATTCACAAATCCCTCAATATATTAACTCCCATCTCAATTTAAGAGCATTTAAGAGCATGACTCCTCAGACTTCTTGCTACATTTTAATTAGACCTAATTTTGATGGCTCTGGGAATAGGATGACAGGTCCGGGCAAACATGAGGAAGAAGTGCAACTATTCATCTTGCTGTATTTTACCTGAAGTGAATTAAACTCACGGCAAAACTAATGCAATCATCTGTGATACGTAGAATCATCAATCCGCTTCTTTCAAGCAAAACTACCAGGAACGGCATCATTCATCAACCATGCTCTATTCCCCTTAATAATGCATGACAAGTATTCCCAGGCAACAAAAATGAAAGTTTTTTGATGAGTACATGCAGTGGCAGGTCCTACATCAGTATTAAGTCACATTTACATTTCATATTTAAGATTTAGCAGCCATTAAATTCTTAGGTAGACAACACTACAGGTTCCGTAAAGGTCTTTAAAATCAAGATTGACAACTTACAATGGAACTTAAGATCGATTTTTAACAAAGGGGTTTAGAAGGATTTTGCAAGGGCAATCTATTTAAAGGAAAAAGAAAGAAACCCTCCACCCGATGACAAACACTTGCCCATCAATAGTGAGATGATAGACAGACACCCAAACAGACAAAACATATATATCCAGTGAATTAGAATATGCATTTGAAGCTTATAATAAAGCTTATTAATAAGAATAATCTATAATAATTAATAAAAACATTTTAA